ATTTTATAGTTCTGCGTCAGTTTTTTTAGCGAAACTTTTTCTTTATACACAAAACTGTTTATTCTGCCTGATTGATTGACTGACAGACTGACTGATGATCGACGCGCAGAGCACATCGCAAGATCTGGGCAACTAAATTCTTCAACTTTTTGTGATATGTATTAAAACTAAGACGGAGTTGGGTTATCTTTCTATGTTTTTAAAATAGGCGCATGCGTGCTTCTTCTTTAATATGTATGCCATTTAATAGCAATCGATTGCTTTGTCAATCATTCAGTCACATCATTTTCCGCTCTTCTTATCCTAATCTTAATCCCGTCGATAAGTCGATAAGTGCCTTTAAAGTTTATGCTTAATAACATTTTTGTGCGCAGCGCCTCCTCATTTGGCTGTCATTGCCAATTAAAAATCAAATTCGCTTCGCTTTAACGCCTCGCCAAATGAGATTTCTCCCCCACACCCTCTCTCTCTCTATCTCTATCTCTGTTAGACACTGTCATAAATTCGTTAAATATCCAGCCGAGCCAGAAGCAGGAGCAGGAGCAAGGCAGAGCAGAGAGAAAGAGAGTAGCTAGTTTATGTCACACAAATATCCAATGACAGCGGCCTCTATGCCTCCTCCTGCGCCCCACACATGCCCACTCCATGGGGCCGTCTCCTGGGCAGGACGACACATTCTCTTGGCTTCATTTGGATTTTTTGGCTTCCGTGCCAAAAACAAGGAAACAAATAAGGAAAAATATCAAGAAAAGCGGCGCACAGACAATTCGCGTTGGGGACTCTACCGCCTCCCTTAGCATTTGCGAGGGGGCGACAGTTGTAGGGGCGTGTTTTTTTTGCTAATTTCATTGACTCTACGCTGGGCCGCTGCCAAGTTCATAATTCGATGAGTGGGCGGCTGTTGCTTCAGTTGTTTCGATTGCTTTCTGTGCGCGCACTTGAAGTTACTTCCAATTATCCTTCGTCCTTTCGCTGGTGCCGGGGGGAGTCGCACATATTGTCAGCTTAAATGTAACTCAATTGATCAGTGAGTAAAAAAAGTGACAAACTCGATTTACTCGTTATAAACTTTAAATAAGAATGCTAATTTGCTGCAGTTAAAAACAGCATTGCCCTTAACAGGCTATGTTATTGGGCAGTTGTAAAACCTTAATGTTAAGTAACATATTTCATGGCAAACATTTCCAGAGTCAATCAATTTAAAAACTAAAATTTAAAACAACATATGGCAAGCTTTCACTTAATAAACATTGGCATGTTAAACGGTTGTATCTGAAAGTTTGTTCTGTTACTAACAGAAATATAAATTCAGTAGCCCAACAATGCAACTCGTTTAACCAACATTACATTAACATGTTGGGCAGTTGTAACTGTAAATCACGCCGTGAATATAATTGCTGCAGCAAAGCGTAAGATTAACATTTGTTAAGCCACATTGAGTTATTAGCATGCTGTTAACTCATGACAAAGCATCAGCTGTTATGTTTTGACATGTGGCTCATGTAGCTTTCAGTTCAGTTTCTATATATTCCTTTTCAATTATTTTAAGTGCCGCCTCACATTTTGTTATTGTGTTGATTTGTGGTACAGTTGTGTTCTCAGTTTTCAACTACTTATGGCCTGTATGGGGGCCAATAAGAAGAAACAGCCCCCGAGGCTGAGTTGAAGTTTCATTTCTTTTTAGTAGAGCGACCCCAACGCACACTCACACTCACACACATACACACACACACACACACACACATCAGCAGCAGCAGCACACATTGTGGCATAGTCACATATATCATTGTCAAGTCTATATGCAAGGCAGCCCCCCACCCAGTCGACGCTGGCCACCCAAGCAGCATTCAAGTTGCCCTCTGCTCAAATATCAGTCCCTTGGCGGGGGCGGGATGCGACAGCAGGGCATATGCGGCAATCTTTTTGGCTTGTCAAATGCGCATTTCCTGCTTACGAGTCCTTGCTGTGTGGCATGCGTGGGTGTGTGTGTGTGTGTGTGACATGTGTGTGCGCGTGTGTGCGTGTGTGTGTGCGGGCTGCCCGGTTTGTCTCTAGCGCAATCAATATGGCGGCGCTGGGGTAATAGCTTAGGATTTACGCGCACGGCTTACAAAGAGAGGACGACTACAGCTCCTGCTGCTTCTTCTTCTGCTACTGCTGCTGCTGCTGCTGCTGGCGCTTCCTCTTCTGCTGTTCCTGTTGTGGTTTCGTCGCCAACGCTCGCGCCAAGTCGTCGCAGTTACCTTTAAACTTTTTTATTGATATTTTATGTATGTAGTCTCGTTGCCCGTTGGCTGATGCTGCCCCCCACTGTTGCCACTGGTGGATGGCTTAAGCCTGGTCCTGCGCCTGGTCCTGCGCCTTCGACAGTGCCATGTTTGTCCTTTTATGAAAGCTGCTGTAATGATTTGTTTTATGAAGTCGTTCGTGTTGCCAACCAAACCCGCAGCCCTTTCCCATTCCCACTCCCCACCTTCCCTTCCTTTCGTGCAAGTTGCGCCCCAAAGTATGCTAGTAAAAAGTCTGTGCTTACGCCTTGTTTGCCCAATGACTTAGTTATTGAGTCCTTACAAAGGATCTCTGTAAAGTCAATTATTTGAAATGAGAAAAGCGTGCAGGCATTCACCAATTCAAGCACCGATTAAGTCGATCGCATATTCACCCTGTTATCAATATGCCAAGGGAATTCATTAGAAGCACTCAATATGTGTCTGTGAATGCATTTGCAATTATTCATGTTGTCTGTGTATGATCATATATTTAATTATTATCTTAGCAAAAGGCGCATTCGTCCGAAATTCAAGTCCAGTTATGAAATCCTTGTTCATTTATCAAACTTGGGCATTTGCGAGCTTTCTCAAGCTCCTATAGAACATAAAAAATATGCCTAAAGTTAATTTTTTCTCATTTTTCTTATGAAAATAGCGTCAAGTATATGTCATATGTTTGTCTGCGATGTTGTTTAATTACTGCTGGTGTATGGATACAGATATATGGCAACATATTTAAGGCATTTCTCTGTTCAGTCTACGTTGCGTATACGCAATAAGCAACACTGCGTATCTCATAGATTTCAGACATTCTCATCCACACGTCGTGTTGCAGACGCATTTCACACCTTGCCACTGGCATGCAAATGATTTATGAAATGTCGGCCATGGGGTAGGGTGGGTAACAGAGGGCCGAGAGGGGGGGGGGGGGGTGCTGGTGCTGGAAGTTTTAACGGCTGGGGCAGCGAGCCCAATGGCAACACTTGGCGACCGTGGCCAATGCTGTTGCCGTTGTTCTTGTTGGCACTAAACTTCAATTAGCTCAGCGAGTCCATGACTTTTAATCAGTGTACTTTATGCCACACGCACACACACACACACACACACACACGCACACGCAGGCATATGCGTGAGCCAAAAAAACGCAATAAATTAAACCAACAAGCAATTACAACAACAAAAGCAGCAGCCAAAAGAGGCCACAAAGTTGCTTAGTGCGCTTTTTGGGGCGCCACCAAAAAAGCAACACACGAGGCAACAACGAGCGACGCTGAAGTCGTGTCGCCAAGATTTATTGACTGTCCTATGCGTCGCGTCGAGTCGAATATTGAGTTGACAATGATGAGGACGAGGACGACAGCGAGGACGACGCCGGGGACACGGACACGGACACGGACACGGGCACAGACCCAGACCCAGACCCAGACCCAGACAAGGACACGGAATCCTGTGTATATACCAGAACAAGGTGCCTGGCCAGGGGCAAGCGATTTCCTTAGCCTGCGACCAAACAAGAGAAGCGCGCGTGTCGTGTTTTTCTGTCAACGCGACGCTGTTCGTGAGCAGAGTTTTCACTGTACGCATCTCCAGCTGCACACACACACACACATGATTTGGGGGCAACACGAGCTGTGGCACATGGCATTGAAATGCGTCGCGCAGTTGCCCCTTTTAACCCCATTTCCTGAAGGGGGTTGGCTTGGGGAGTAGCCCTCCATTACAATAACAAATAAATTGAAAATATGAATATGAACTGGGTGAGGACAGCGGATTGTAGCCGAAGATGCCTTTGCCCGCCAAAGTAGACACTCGAAAAGTGCCACAAGATTTATGCCTCAATGTTGTTGCTATGTGTCTGTCCAGTGTATGTGCGATTATGTGTGTGTGCGTGTGTGAGTGTGTGTTGAATTTGGCAGCTTAGCCAGCAGCAGAAGCCATTGAATGCGACACTGATGCGGATGCGAATGCAGTTGTGGCGATAATAAGCTTCAGCAGCCGACTTGATGTCTGCGCCACAGCCCCCGCACCAGCCCGCCCACAGGCCCCCCGCTTACCAGCTTTATGGCTGCTGTTGACAGCCGCAACGCAAAGGCTGACAGCTGTAAAGGGAGTAGGTGATGGCCAGGTCTTAAATGCGTCGCCTGGCCCAGCAACTGTCCGGGAATTAGCCTCAAAATCGTTGACTTTGGCTCTGGCAGTCAAATTCAGCAGGATGCCCAAAGCTGATGCAAATTGGAAAGTGGACAGCGGGACAGGGACAGGGACAGGGACAGGGGCCGGGGCATAAGAGGAAGTCTGTAGCCAGACAGCTTGATTGCAATTAGCAGAGATAAACTACAGCTATTGGCGCTCAAATATCACTTGATGAGCTCGTGCTTTACGGCTGCAAACGAAAGAAAACATATATATATATATATATATATTATCGGTGAATCGCTTTAAGGTTTGAACTAATGCCTCGCTTTGGGTTTCTGTTGGGTAAAGCTGTGTTTCAAGCTGTGTGTATTAATCGAGAATCTGCATACCAAATCTGGTATCTGGTAACTTTAATAATTCCCGAGTCGAGAAGGTTTTCGTTACGCTCTGCCAACTGACAGGCACAGTGCGTATACGTAATATGTCGAATTGCTATTGTCGGGCCTTCAATTAAAACAGAACGAAACTGATATTGAATTTTAATTGGACTTTTAATTAATCTACTCCTTCTCTGCTCCTCTCTCTTCATCACAGGTCTCCGCTGGGCAGCATTTGCACCTGAGCAGCGACATGAAGAGCAACGTTTCGGTTGCCGCGCAGCAGGGCGTCTTCTTCAGTCAGCAGCAGGCCGCGCAGCAACAACAGCAGCAGCAGCAACAACCAGGGAACGCTGGCCCCAATCCTCAGCAGCAGCAGCAGCAGCCGCACGGCGGCAACGCGGGCGCTAATGGGGGCGGTCCGAATGGCCCGCAGCAGCAGCAACCAAATCAAAACATGAACAATTCAAATGGTAAGCAGCGCAGACAAATGAATAACACCAATGAGTGCACTCACATTAAATTCGAATCAATTGAATTATATTTGACAGTACCCTCCGACGGCTTCTCGCTCTCCCAAAGCCAAAGCATGAACTTCACGCAGCAGCAGCAGCAACAGGCGGCGGCGGCAGCAGCAGCTGCTGCTGCGGCACAGCAGCAACAGGCAGCCGCCGCTCAGCAGCAGCAGCAGCAGCAGCAGGTGCCGCCCAATATGCGTCAGCGTCAAACGCAGGCGCAGGCAGCGGCAGCAGCAGCAGCGGCAGCAGCTGCACAGGCGCAGGCCGCGGCCAATGCGAATGGCGGACCCGGCGGCAATGTGCCGCTGATGCAGCAGCAGCAACAGACGCCGGGCGGCGTGCCGGTGGGCGCGGGCAGCGGCAATGCCTCTGTCGGCGTGCCAGTCAGCGCCGGCGGACCCAACAATGGTGCAATGAATCAACTGGGCGGACCCATGGGCGGCATGCCGGGCATGCAAATGGGCGGACCCGGCGGCGTACCCATGAATCCTATGCAAATGAATCCGAATGGCGGCGCGCCCAATGCCCAGATGATGATGGGCGGCAATGGGGGAGGCCCGGTGCCGGCCGCCAGCCAGGCCAAGTTCCTGCAGCAGCAGCAAATGATGCGCGCCCAGGCCATGCAGCATCAGCAGCAGGTGCAACAGCACATGGCTGGCGCACGTCCGCCGCCGCCGGAATACAATGCTACCAAGGCGCAGCTAATGCAGGCCCAGATGATGCAGCAGACTGTAGGCGGTGGCGGTGGCGGAGGCGTTGGCGTGGGCGTGGGCGTGGGCGGCGGTGTTGGCGGCGGCGGTGGTGCCGGCCGCTTTCCAAACAGCGCAGCCCAGGCAGCGGCCATGCGACGCATGACACAGCAGCCGATTCCACCATCCGGGCCCATGATGCGGCCCCAGCATGCTGCCATGTACATGCAGCAGCATGGTGGTGCGGGCGGCGGGCCACGCGGCGGCATGGGCGGCCCGTACGGTGGTGGCGGCGTCGGCGGCGCAGGCGGACCCATGGGCGGCGGTGGTGGCGGCCAGCAGCAGCAGCAGCGGCCGCCCAATGTGCAGGTCACGCCCGACGGCATGCCCATGGGCTCGCAGCAGGAATGGCGCCACATGATGATGACGCAGCAGCAGCAGCAGATGGGCTTTGGACCAGGCGGACCCATGCGTCAAGGACCCGGTGGATTCAATGGCGGTAAAGTCGATAAAGCCGAGTCTTACAGCTTAATTTTTGCAACTAATCGTCTTGTTTTCCAGGTAACTTCATGCCCAATGGTGCGCCCAATGCGCCGGGCAATGGACCGAATGGCGGCGGCGGTGGTGGCATGATGCCCGGCCCCAATGGACCGCAGATGCAGCTGACGCCCGCGCAAATGCAGCAGCAGCTAATGCGACAGCAGCAGCAGCAGCAACATATGGGACCCGGCGGTGGCGGCGGCGGCGGCGGCAACATGCAGATGCAGCAGCTGCTGCAGCAGCAACAGAACGCAGCAGCCGGCGGAGGTGGCGGCATGATGGCCACCCAGATGCAGATGACCAGCATCCACATGAGCCAGACCCAGCAGCAGCAGCAGCTCACCATGCAGCAGCAACAATTTGTCCAGAGCACCAGCACGACAACAACACACCAGCAGCAGCAACAGTTGCAGCTGCAGATGCAGAGCCAGAGCGGAGGACCCGGCGGCAACGGGCCCAGCAACAATAATGGTGCAAACCAGGCGGGCGGTGTAGGCGTCGGTGTTGGTGTCGGTGTGGGCGTCGGCGTGGTCGGCAGCTCGGCAACCATTGCCAGCGCCAGTTCGATCAGCCAGACGATCAACTCGGTGGTGGCCAACTCGAATGATTTGTGTCTCGAATTTCTCGACAATCTGCCCGACGGCAATTTCTCCACGCAGGATCTGATCAACTCGCTGGACAACGACAACTTCAATATACAGGACATTTTGCAGTAGAGCAGCGAGTATCCCGAAAGGATGCCCAGCCAGAGACGCCGCCGTCATCACCACCACCACCAACACCACCCTAACCACCACCAATTGTTGCCTGTTTTTGTTTGAATATTTTTTGTTGTTGCCTGTTGTTGTTATTGCTTTCCTGCCCCATGGCCCATGTCCCATACCCCATTAACCTACACCCACAACCAACACCCCCGCCCCCCCCCTGTTTGTTAATTGTGTGTATTTAGAAGCTTATTTCGTTTCGATGTACTCTAATTTGGGACTTTACTGTATTATTAGCCGCTAGAGCTGCCCGCTTTCTTTTGTAGGGGGCAGCAACGGTCCAAGGCGGGTGAGCGCTGGGGCGTGGCAGCGGCAGCGGCCAGTACGCAAACATTCCATACTCTACAAATATATATCTATATATATTTGTCTATATATATGCACAAACAAAAACAATTCGAAAAAGTATTTGAGAGCAGCCTCAGAAATTTTTTAAAAAATAGTAAAACGCACCTACACACACCCACAAACACACACACACACACACGCACACCCACTCGCAGAACTTAAGCACCTGTACTTAATGTAATTTGGCCACGCCCAGCGACCAATTCGCCCGCCCTACATTTCATTTTACTTAAGCAAAAAGCGAAAAACAAAACATAAAAAAAAAAAAACGAAAGAAAGAAAATGGAACCAACAACAAAAGAAAACTTTTTAAGAAATGCGTCAGAAAAACAACAAAAAAAAAGAACATGAAAAATTGTACATTTTATATTGTATTTAATTTAATTTAATTTTTTAACTAAAACAAAAATGCGAAAGTAGCAAAAGAAAAACACAAAAAAAGAGTAAAAAGTGCAACAGCAAAGGAAAAACGTAAAAAGCAAAAATATTGGTGATATTTTAATTGCTTACACACAAAAAAACACACACACACATACACACACAAACAGAAAGAAAATTTGATTGAAATTTTACTAGAGAGAGAGAGAGAAAATAGAAAAACGGAGAAACAGTTATTATTATTATTGTACATTATTTTTGTGTAACAATTAAGTTTAAATGGATTTTACAAACAAAAGAGCAAACGCGGAGCAACAATGCGAATTAAGCGCAAACAACAAACATATTTAAAAAACAAATTATATATATATATATAGATACATATATGTATGTATGTATATGTATATATACATATATTATACAACTTATAATTAATTACTACGCGTAGTTTTTTGGTAGTGAAAAGCGTGCATAAAGCCCTAAACATTAGTAGTTTGTTAAATAAATTTATATATATATATATATATATATATATATATATATATATATATATATATACAACAGCCAGATAAACACACACACACACACATTATATAGTTCTCGAGATATATATACAGATATATATATATATATATATATATATATTCGATTATTGAATTAGAGTTCTAAGCAGCAGACAGATTTTTAGCTAAATGCGTTTTTTGGCCGCGTTACCAAGTGACGTCATGCCATGCCACGCCCACAGCAGCCCACTTGACAAAATGAAATGATAAGTAAAAAGAAAAGAAGAAATGATATACGCCGAGATTCCAGCTATGAAATTATTGTACCGACATTTAATTAGCGCAATTCCATAAGTCCATAAGTTAAATAGTTCAGATCGGTTCAGATTCAGCTCAGAGGCCATAGAAATTGCGACAGACACTTCCAGAAATATATCTATATATAAAGCGAGTACATAGATAATGCCTAGATCGAATGCTGATCGAGCACAGACACACACACATACACACACAGAGACACAAACAGACACGCCTAGAAAACAAACGCGTAGCCCAAAGTATTTAAGCCGCAAACAAACAAAAACAAAAACTAACAAAAATTATTATTAAATAATTATTATTATAAAAAAATACGCGAATTGTAGTTTGTAATTAATTATACGAAACCAATTTGTTTACAAAAAAAAAGAAGAAAAAAATTAAAAACCACGCAAATTATATATTATATAGTATATATATATATACATTATTATTATTACTATATACAATATGGCATATTATTATTACATATATATACGAGTACAGATATATATATATATATAAATATATATATATTAAAAATGAGTACACAAATTAGCAGCGCAGCTTGCAACCGAATCGAGGCGCAGCGAGTTGCAAGTGTTGCAAGTAAAACACACACACACACACATATTTACACTCACATATACACACACAGCCAGACACAACTCGATATCAATTAAAAGCAAACAGCTGCCAGCGGCAAACCAAAACTTTAACAATTTACAAAAAGCAAACTTCAAAAGCAAAAAAAAAAAAAAACAAAAACAAAAAAAGCAAATGCAAATGCAAATTAATTTTAGCTCATAATTTATATAAAAAAAAACAACAGAAAACACAAACAAAAAAAAAAAATACAACAAATCGAATTGGATTTGAATTCGATTTGAGGGCCTTTTGCAGCATTTTGTTATGTTTTTTCTCTTTTTGTCATTTAGCCAAAAGATGTTTGGTGCACAAGTCTTCGGTTTGTCGTTTTGTTGTCCTACAGGATGTGCAACAGAACTTATGTGTCAATAAATCGAACACGTACGAATTGTTGGCCGCAAAAAAAAAACAAACATACAACAAACAAAACAAATACAAACATTTGTAGATTTTCTTTTAATATTAAAGAAACCAGATAAAACAAAAACAAAAAGCAACAAAATAAAATAGTAAAATATTACTTTTGTAAATAAGTGAACAATTTCTTCTTATTTCACGAGAAATGCCAGCTAAGGCAATTGCATACTCTTAGGCCGACCCAAGTAACTGATTCGTTTCTATTGTTATAAAAGCACGGCATACTCTTAGGGTACAAAAATAAGCAAATTAGGATTAATTACGCTGCATACTCTTGGGGATGCCATTTTCCATTTGGGTAAATATCCACAAGAATTAAACCATTAGGGGGTCATCAAAGTATCAACGGCAAACTTTTTTTCTTATAGCGAAACGATTTTGTGTTACGACAAAAATTTGGCAAGTACTAGATTCTAAGATGACTCCTTATTTTTAGAATGCAGTTTGCCGCTGTTAGTTCTTACGATTCTAACGCATTTCGAAAGTCTGCAAGGAAAATTTCGGCAATATACAAAAAAAAGGATGAAAGACCTTTAAAGTGATGAGAAAAACGTACAATTGTGTATGCTGATAAAGTCTCTTAGCTCTGTCATATCCTTGCGTATTCTGATGAATCCTCTGTCAAACATTTTGTATGAATTAGGATTAAAAGCAGGCCAAAGTAAATTTCGATAGAAGTTATAGTTGCCGAGATATGCCTATTTTTCAAATAAGGACATTATATTCATAGCCATGGCATTCAAGGATTTCCCAGATTCAAAGTAAGGGGCAAAATATGTTAGGCTTAACGGTGGGCTGTTAACAGCTGCAGCTCATGTAAAACTTCTGGAAGTCCCTTTCGGCTATGATATCGATTCGATCGGCAGGCCATATATAAATTTGATTTTGAAATGCTTATAACTAGGCCATATCCTTACGGATTTTAAAAGGAACTGGTACGTTGGATTCGTAAGGGCCAATCGCATCGACCTGCATCGAAAAACTAGGGGGTCATCTAAGAGCCCTGGACTTGGTCATTTATTCAGCCCCGAATCGCAAGGAAATGGGCAATTGACACCAAATCAGATTTATTTCCGAAACTACAAGGACGATTTGGATGTCCTTTGGCCAGTTGCTAGACCTGGTCAATACAATCTTTTTGACAAGAGACTCATCAGGATACGCAAGGATATAGCCGAGTTATAGCCTATTTTTTGCTTAGAAAAAATCAGTATTCCTCAGCTATTTGAAGGACTATCGTCCTTCGGGTGGTATATTCTTAAATGGAAGAACGAAGACTATTTTCTGGCCAAAGGACAGCCCGATAGTTCTTCAAATGGCGAACTTAGTCTTGAACTTTTTAATTTTCTGATATTAAAGTTACATTTTGGTCGAATCCTGGAAATCCTTGAATGCCAATCGACAATACTAATCCTCGAGAGCTTAAGAGGGTATATCCTTTTGATATCATTGAGGATGTGCCCGAGCTTTGGCTAAAAATATGGTTTCCTTTTCATACAAATAGCCATAACTCGGGTAAATCCTTGCGGATTTTCAATAGACTTGATTCTTTCGGATTGCAAAGGCGAACTGCAGCAAACTGCATCAAGACAATAGGAGGTCATCAAAGAATGCAGGGCTTGTCTAAGTTGAATTCTGGGCGCAAGGAAATACAAAATCCTTCATGCATCGAAAACTACAATGACGCAATGGATGTCCTTTGGACAGCTGCATATCCTGCTTCATACACATCGCTTAACACCTGACTCGTCAGGATCCGAAAAGATATAGCCTCAGGTGTTCCCTAAATGTTTTTATGCAGTTCGATAGATTTACTCATTGCAATCCTAACGCACCAAGTCCTTTGCAAGGATTTCGCTGAGATAATGTTTTTTTATGAAAAGGAAATTCTAGCATAGATTAGGTTCGTAAGGACCAATTCCGTGCAGCCACCCTTTGATGTAATTTTCATTCATATTTATTGATTTCTTTATACGCATGTTCATAATACATAATTGCATATTTTATGACTTAATATAATTATATTCCACAATTGTAAATACATTCAATGTGTGTGTGTATGTATGTGTGCTTCAATTGTTTAACATTATAAATGTGTATAGCATATTTATCATATTCGCTTACTTTGCATGTACCCGATCTATGTGTATGTGTGTGTGTTTTATATTATATGGTATAGTTCTGATAGGTAGGACGTGCATGACAACTCGACATGGATATATCCACGCAGTTAACTTAAACATAAAACAAGCTTGGCTAAAATTAGAGGGCTAAAAGGGAAGAGGGTTGGGGGGCAGGTGTTGAACTAAAAACGATTTACAAATAATTAGAAACTATTGCGGGAACTAAATAGTGTGCTAAATCTAATTAGAGTTTAGCTCTGCCAATATTCATGTATATGTGCGTGTGCATTCGTGTGTGTGTGTGTGTGAATGCATGTATGTATGCATGTATGTATGTATGTGTGGGGCTATGATTAATAACTTTTCAACACTTAGATGCTAGTGCAAAGGTGCGGCCTGCCAATACTAAATGTTTAAATATTTAGCTTATTATTATTATTAGTTATAAATTATTTGCGACACTTTCATTTAACGGGTTTTGCTTAAACAGTGTAAATGCCTTTGCCTGTTGCCTGTTTGTTGCATTAGTTGAGTTTTTAAATGTGGTTAATTGCTAGTAATCAATGTTAAATGTTGCACGTTGCATGTTGCACGTACTATTATGCAATAAAATCAGCCTTAGTTATAATAATTGTTACTTGTGAATACGCATTTCTGTGGGTTCATTTGCGGCAAGTGCCTGCAAATACTTGAGAACCTCTTTCAATTTCAAAATTATTATCGTTATATTTGAATTATATTATCTTTATGTGTCTTTCAATTTTACTTTGTAATACTTGCGCAAGTTAAAGATTCTCTCTAAAAAACAATTATACAAAAAGGGCGTTAAAAGTATAAATCTGTAAATTTTACTACCAAAAATGTACGCTTACAAAAGTTTTGCCGCTCGTTATAAGTTATATTAAATATGCTTTTTAAAAATGCGTTCAATTGTTAATTAGTTAATTACTTGCAGTGATTTAGTTAAGTATAGTTTACTGTATTTCATTTGACTCGACTCGACTAAATGCCCAAATTCAAACTCTATTAGTATCATTATTATCATTATTATTATTATTATGATTACTTTTGTTCCTCTAAAAAGTAGCACTAAACTTTAGATTAGATGTGAGTGTTGAATGGTTTGTGCATTCGAACGCGTGAATATTGATGAATGGATGGATATTGAAATGCAGTTGAAATGCACTTGAAACAAAGTTCTAGCTTCTAGTTAAACACTCGATGCTTAGGCTAATGATTAACGCTTGTCACGGGCATTTGTTGTGGAAAACCATAATGCAAACATTTGTGATTGAGCATTTCCACAACAGTTGCCAAAATTTCCACTTGTGCAGCTCGAAAACAAACTGAGTCTTTCGTAATAGGTTCAGTTTGTTTTCAATTTTAAGAACTTAATGTTTAAGATTTACATAGATTGAATTTTACTTAAATATTGCAAACATGTTTCGAATGCTCGATTAAAAATATTTCAATATTTTTGCTTCTTCTTTTCACTTTCCTCTACTTTGCTGCGTTTACGCCGCAAACATAAATTTATATCACACGCAATAAATATAATAAAATAAAAGAACAATTCTTTCTTTTGTTTTTTTTTTTCGAAATTAAACAAATTAAAAATCGTGCTCGTGCCATATTGCGTTATTAACTAATTACCTTTTTGTTATCGTGATTTTTTTAGTATATGTTTTTACATGCTTTGAACTTGAATGTTATTTTTTTATGCTTTTCAATTAAATGTTAATTTTACTAATATACATCGATAGCATTTGCATACATGTTGCAATTAAAATTGATTCGAAAACATGTTGCTGGCAACATGTTGCCAAGGTGCGCATGTGTGTGTGTGTGTGTGTGTGTGTGAGTGTGTGTGTCGTAATTTCGAGTGCAGCTATTCGTTGTGAATGGCAATGACTGTTTGATGTAATTCTAGTTAACGTTTTAACGTTTTTGGCAAATTGTTGAATTATCGATTATATACTATATATCGATTGCTTTAGTGCAGTCTGTGATGATTGGCCTTGGGCATGGCGCCGACAATGCGCACACGGCCCAAGGTGCCCACTGCGCCAGCGCCAGCGCCACCAGACAGCCGCTGATGCTGCTGTTGTTGCTGCTGCTGCTGTTGTTGCTGCTGCTGCTGCTGATGTTGTTGTTGCAGCAATTGCAGTTGCTGCTGGTGACGCTGCTGCTGCTGCAGTAGCTGCTGCTGTTGCTGCTGCAGATGTTGCTGCTGCTGCTGCTGTTGCTGTGGATGGTACTGTGGCGTGTGTTTGGCATCGTTGCAATCACAGAATTGCGGCGGCGGCGCCAGTACCAGATTCTCGGTGCACAGCTGCAGATTGTTGTTGCCCGGCTGCGGCACAGCAGCAGCAGCAGCAACGGCAGCAGAAGGCACAGCCACCAGTTGGCCGCTGGGCAGCATGCCCACAATATGCGTGGCCATCTGCTGCTGCTGCTGCTGCTGCTGGTGGTGCTGTAGATGTTGCTGCTGTGTTGGCTCACCGTCGCTGTCTGCCTCGAGGGGCGGCGGCAACTGGACCAGCGAGACGGCGGTGGTGCGCGTGGCGCCACGCTGCATGGCAATGGCCGCCGCCTGTTTACGCGTGAGCGAATTGTGGCGCTGAAAGGCCTTGGCCGGCGGCGACGGACTTAGCTCGCCGTCATCATCATCCAGATCGGAGCGCTGCTCTAGCTCCGAGTCGTGGCTCTTGTGCAGCTGCTGTTGCTGTTTGGCGACCAGGGCGGCAGTGCTGGCGCCACCAGCGGCCGCTGCTTTGGCTTTGAGTATCTGCTGCAAGTGTTGCTGATGCGCCAGTTGCTGTTGTTGCTGCTGCAGTATCTGCTGCTGTGTGGCAATCAGCTTCAGATTGGGATTCGATTGATGATGCAGCTGCTGCTGCTGCTGTTGCTGCTGCAGCTGTTGCTGGTGATGCACATTGGGTATGCGGCCCAGCACTTGAGGACTGAGCACCGGCTGATTCGATTTGATTTGAGCTGTTGCTGCTGTTGCTGGCAGCTTGTTAGCAACAGTTGTAGCTGGCTTGCTGCTCAGCTGTTGCTGCTGCTGCTGTATGACTGGTGCATGTTGCTGCTGCACTAGTTGCTTAACTGTCAGCGTTGTTGTTGCTGCTGCTGTTGCTGCTGTGTTGTTGCTGCTGTTGCTGTTGTTGTTGTGATTGCCGCTGGCATTGTTGTTGAGATTGCCAGTGGATGTGGACTTGGTGGCCGCCTCGTAGGCAGCAGCAGCGTGGGCTACATTTGTGCCCGCGTTAATGTTGCTGCTAGCTTTTGTGTTGCCAGTTGCTGTTGCTGTTGCTGTTGCTGTTGCTGCACCAATACTGATGGTTGTCTTGGCCAGGGGCTTAGCCGGCGGATCGGGTATGGTCTTGGGCTCTTCGACAATGGTCACGCTTGGCTTCTTCTTGATGGTATCCGTGGGCTTGCCAACGCCCGTAGCCAGTAGCTCCTGATCGCTGCTCACGCCGGAACTGCTGTTGTCGCACTCGTCCTCGCCAGCAGCAGGCTGTGGCAGCAACTGTTGCGGCTGCTGCGCCTGTTGCTGCTGTTGCTCGTCTTCCTTCTTGAGGAAGCCGTTGGGCGAGGACTTGGAGGTCTTAAGATTGCTGCGTATGCGCTGAATTTCCTCCACGGACAGCGAGTGCGAAATGGAGGCACCTGAGCCAGAGGCAGAGCTGCTGCCGCTAAAAAGGAGCAAAGAGAAGGAGTGAGTGGCAGGAGTTCTGTTAACAGCTATTTGTGGCACTTACCTGGCCTGACTGTTGCCGCTTGTTTCCGGCACATCGAAAAGCGCAATTTTCTCATTGAGCTTCGTGTTGCGCGCCACCAGAATCGAGTTCTCATCCTCGCCATCCGACTCGCTGCAGCTGTAATCCGGCTCGGGAATGGGCGGTGCCGCGCCAGCTGTGGCACCTGCAACAGTTGCCGTTGCATTGCCATTCGCCTGCTGCTGCTCTTGTGCGGCAGCTGCTGCTGGCGGTGGTTGTGGCGCCGGCGGTGGCGGAGCTGGCGGCGATTGAGGTGCTGCTGCTGCTGCGGCTTGTGCTGTTGTCGGCTGTGGCTGCTGTAGCTGTGGCGCCGCATAATGGGAGCCGGCTGAAGCAGGTGCCTGGGCACGCAGCTGAGTGGGCGCCGCATATTGACTGACATGTTGCTGCTGCGGCTGCTGCTGTTGTTGCTGTGAGGCGGCTTCCTGCTGCGGCTTCTCCTGCGCCTGCCGTAGCTTCCAGGCCATCACGTTGCGCAGCTCCTGCGGCGAGGCATAGATCTTGGCATTGGCCGATGGATTGAAGCTGCTCTGGACGCCATCGATGGCCGCCGAGGTGACTGCGTCGTTCTCGGCGCGCTTCTTCAGCTTCTGTTGCAAGGATATTGTGCTCTCGTACTCCGATACGCTACTGCGCGTCTCCACCTTGACCACCTGGCCGACGGGCGGCGGCGGCGGTGGGTGATTGGGCGGCGGCAGCACTGCTCCACCAGCAGCAGCAGCAGCAGCAGCAGCTTTGCTCTCCTCCTTGTGGCCCGCCGTGTTGAGGCGCTGTAGCGAGGCGTGCAATGTGGCCACGTCGTCCTGCGAGTGGTGGCCCTTGCCCGCCGCCTGCCAGATGGACGAGGCGGAGCCGTGCAGCTGCGGCCCGTGCAGATCGGGCGTTGAGTGGAAACGCTTCAGATCGCGACCGCTGCCAACAATCGCCCCACCTACTGTGGGCGTGGCCACTGGCTTGCCGCGCAGCGTGCCATTACCGTGCTTGCTCCTGGCCGTCTTGCGCTTCATCTCGGCTACGCTGCCATAGACCAGCGGCCCGGTGCGCATGGGTGAGCCATTGGCAGCTGGGGGCGTGGCGGCACCACTGTCCGTGCCCGACTGGAAGCGCGAGCTGGTCATCATGGTCGCATAACGGCTGGCGCTCGAGGCGCTGCCCTCGCCCTGCTGCCGCTGGAAGAGCTCCTCCAGCTCGGCGGCGGTTATGCGGCTGGATGTGGGCCGCGCCTTGATGCTGGCCGTGCGCAGCTGTACCGGTGTGCCCGGATGTGTGGGTGTGGGCGTTGCAATGGACTCCACCGAATTGGATTTGGTATGCGGCACCTCGTCCTGCTCCTTCTCGCCGCCATTCTCCAGGCCGGCGACCATAGACTTGGCCCTGGCACGTCCCACACTAAGCGTCGTCTTGGGATCACGTCGTGGCGGCATGGGCGCCATGCGCACGCTGCCACCGCCGCCCGAGGCGGAGCTGCCGCTGGCATGACTGCCCGGGCCCATGGACATCTTACGCGGCAGCGTGGCGCACTGGCGGTGCGCGCTCTGCGGCGTGCTGGGTCCACTGTTCAGATGTTGGCTGCCGGCGCGTGCGCCACTCGGCAAGTACTGAGCGCTAGCCTGCATCTGGAGCGGAAACTGTGGCGAGACAACGGTCATGTTGACCAGGGCGCCCGCCGAGCGTATCATCTCGACGACCTGTTCGTGCGAGGCGGCGCTGACATCTTCGCCGTTGATGGTGAGCAAAAAGTCGCCCGGACGCAGTCCGGCCATGTCAGCGACACCGCCGGGATCCACGTCATCCAAGTACTGCAGCGCCGGAAAGCGCTCGGAGGGACGCAGCTGCATCAACTGAGAGCTGGCCTTGGCGCCGCGCAAAATGAAGCCAAAGCCGCGCTTGGCTCGATGCAGCACCACGGAGCGGGGCGCATTGTAGGCCCTGAAAGATTCCAGTATGTGGATTAATACGTGATCTGACATGAATAAGAAAACAAACCAACCCTTTCTTGATCCGAGGCGCTGTGGCGCTGCTGTATTGTCCAATGGAGTTGTTGCCCATGTGGCCGCCATTGCCCTCCGCCAGATGTTGCTGCTGCTGCTGGCAGGAGCCGTTGCTGGTCATCGAGAGCGAGGGCGACTGATGGGGCTGATGAAGCAGCGTGCTAGAGCTGCCCGAGTGCCCGCCCAGGCTCAGTTGGGGCGAGCCCTGGTAGGAGGCGGGCTGTGGCTGCAGCGGCTGCTGCTGTTGTGGAGCAGCCATGCCCGTGCTGGCGGTCATCACATTTGTGATGTGCTTCTGGCGCAGATTCACCTCCTGCACGCAGTCGGCGGGAAAGAAGCCCGACTGATTGGTGCCGCGCACATAACCTTCGAGCAGGCCGCAGTCGGTGCTGCCCACCACCTCGATCACATCGCCCGGCTGCAGCCGTATGTGACCCACTGTATTGCCCGCATAGGGCTCCATGCACACCACCGTGGTGCTGGGATGCCCGATCGAGCAGGCCGCCGAATCCGAATTGGTGCCCACGCCCGACGAGTCGCTGATGATGTCGCTGGTGTCGCCCAGCGATTTATCTGTGCGGATGGCAAAAGCGGAAACTCAAGTAAGTCGGCAGGTCCACGGACAAATGATGCGACCAGCTCCGTGCTGCAGCCGAAGCCACAGCCGGAGCTGGGAGCTGGGCAGAGACAACATTGAGTATGACGATTACATGCGAATGCAGAGAGTGGAAAGTATAATACAGGCGGAAGGAGAGGTGAGCACAAGAAGCAATGCGTTTCGAGACATTTGTGAATGTGGCTGTAATAATTGCGTGGCGAATCGCTTAGACATGGTCGAAATTGCGGGCGACTCATTATTCTGCAGTGTGAATGTGTCTTTAATTAATCTTCAAGTGAATGAGTTGTTCTATTTGCCTGCTATTTGGTAACACTCGGCGTTGCCCGTGCAACGTACTTTTCATATGATTAAAGTCTACTTTCCACCCAGTTTCCGATTCTTGGGGTGAATTTCTCACCTCTATTTATTTGTTCATTATGTCTTAACTGTCGGCATTAAACATCAGTCAGTCAGTCAGTCAATTAATCGGGCAGTCAATCAAACAGGACAAACCGTCTTATTGGTATAGTTAGATATATTAAGTGTAAATATGACTGATTCGCATGATTCACTTGGCCTAATGAATCGTTGAACAAGCTATCGATAACTGAGTCACAGTGTGAATTTGTAATCAATTAAAAACGTGCTTAAGTATATTGATAAAATCGATAAATATCATAAACTGTTTCTTTTAAAAACAGGTAAAAGACATGCACTTGTGGAATTGGATTACATAAAAAATAAACTATATTCTTAAATTAAACTAAAGCTAATATGCATGCTTGAATCGTTGCAAATTTAATACTTGACCTCTTCTTGGGTTTATACATTGATCATTATAGTAAAAGCAGAAAATATGTACAGTAATACCGAAATATATTTGTGTGTTTGTGGCTCTCTCTTAGTAAACCCTAATCCTCAATTGATTAGGCTCCATTTTTAAATTAATTGAAATTATAAATAAACTTAAGGAGAACTTAGGTAAAAGGCGAAATCAAAGTAAATTCCATTACCTGTCACAATGCTGATGTCGTCCTCGTGAGAGCGGTGTCCCGACGAGCCCTCGGATAGGCTCGAACTGGCCGAGCTGTAGGCGCCCAGCATGTGCTCCGATGGACAGGGCGAGGGCGGGCCGTGCAGCTGCAGATGCGGCTGCTGGTGCTGGTGCTGGTGGTGCAAATGCTGCACGTGCTGGTTATGGTTATGGGGCTGGTTCTGGGTCTGGTGCGGCTGCAGCTGCTGCAGTTGCTGGCGCGAGAGCGTGCCCATCAGACTCCCGCCTCCGTTGCCATTCACACACATGCCGCCACCTGGCCCGGCACCAGCGCCCCCTGCACCATCCAGCCCACCGGCAGCCGCAGCAAGCAGCCCAGCGCCAGCGGCCCCGTTGGCGCTCAGCCAGCCGATGCCCGAGCGGCGCTTCGGATTGTAGCGCGGTGGTCCCCGGAAGGGTACTGCGATGTGGATAGTAAGGATAGTTTGCGATTTATACGTGTATATTTGTGTGTGTGTTGTGGTTATTGTTCTTGTTGTGGGAAGAGTTTTGTCAGTCGCAGCTAAAGAGCTGAGTTTATGTGTCGCGGTGTTGGGGGAAAGGGCTCTGATACATATATTTTTCTGTTAGCTATGGTTATGTATTTTTGTCACATTTTGTGGCCACGTTTGTGGAGAAACCATCCAGATTCCAGGTTTATGATAATGGCTTATGCGGGCTTTGCTAGGGATGAGCAAATGTTCGATAAAAGACTGTCATTAGCTAACAGCTGTTAACTAACATAACTGACGCATGTTAGCCAGAATATGTTATTGCTCAACCCTAGCTAGCTCTACTCAATCTAGAATCTAGAATCGGGCATACTCTTAATTAAAAAAAAAAAAAACAAAGAAAATATAAAGACAGAAAATAAAGGAAAAATTTCCTAGACCATTTCCTATGGATGCTAACACTTGGGATCGATACACCAAAGGTTCTTCTGTTACTTACTGTACTTACTGATCTGCTGTATGAATGTGGCTCAAGGCAATTGACCGTAGGATAAAGCAAAATGTAGCAAAAAGTTGACATTCTAATAATGTGCAAAAACAAACTAGCTAAACAATATGATGTATAGGTTATGTATGCTGTATGAATACATCGATAACTATATTTATAAATGGATAACGGTAAAAATTTAACAAAACATTGAAAAAGACAGCCAAGAGAGACACAGACAGAGAAAGAGAGAGAGAGAGATAGAGAGATATATAGACGTGGCAATGAGGTGTGAGAGTCAACCGAGTACACGAGCAAAAATTGAAACAAGTTACAGTTACGAATAAGAACTATGCATATATATATATATATAGAAAGAGAGGTAGTATATATAGAAAATATATCTCAAGCAAATGCAAAAATATGCAAGGCAAATACATATAAAATCTTGTACATATAGCGTTTGTTATATAATAGCAGCCAAATTTGTATGTTAAATAGATATATGTATATGAAAAATGATTTACGATTCGAGGAGACCTAAATGATGAAATGATTTGTTGATATATGATTTTGATATGAACAGTTTAAGTGTCTTTAAGAACTTAACATTTTTTAAGGGATTTTGGGACTAAAAGTGATTAAAACAGAGCATAAAAATCGATTGGAATTGATCTAGGCTATAGATACTATAGATTGAGCAGAGGAAACTCGAGAAAAGTAAAATATAAATCAAGGTGTGACCAAAAAAAAATGGGATTAACTGAGCGGTAAACGGGGCTGAGTATGAGTAAAAAGTACAATATGGCAATGTCAATGTCGAGTACGAGTCGATTGGGATTGGTCGATGCGTTTCAGGAACGTTGATATCATGTTTATTATGCGAAATTGGTCAAAATCACTTTGGCCGTTTTCCACAAATTTGTTGCAAAAAAGTACTCTAGCTCTTACAGTTCGGGCTGAATATGGCACATCCATCAATCGAGTCTGTCATTCGTTCTTTAGATTACGTGAAATGATATCAACGTTCGCTGATTTGTGTGAGTGCGAATGAATGTTTGTATGATTACGATAGGCTCGTTAGCACTCACCAATATCCTCAGATTTGTAGTTCTCAATTATTTCGGCAAGTTCCAAGTTGCCAGCGATGACAGCAACCTGAAGAATAAAGTTATATTAGCCCAGAATGAAACCAGAAGCTTGGCTAGGCACTAAATTCGGATTGACTACAAGCAAAAACTACGTGAAAAGTACCATGAAGACAACTAGTATCTTATAAGTATATACGAGTATATTACGATTAACTGTAGCTAAAAGTGTGTCAGACTTTAATTTGGATTCGTTTTTGTTTTAAATACCTGATAGGGAGTTTGGTTGGCAAAGTTCTGGGCACCGCGTTGTGCGCCGCGAAAGAGAAGCATTCTAGCACAAGCCTCTTGGTTGTTAACAGCGCAAACATGCAACGGGCTGTTACCGGACGCATTGCGTCCATCCATGTCAGCACCGTAGAACAACAAGTGTTCCAAGTGCTGCACCAGGCCATGCCGACAGGCCTGAGCACAGTTTAACAATAGTTAGGCAAGCGTTTAAAGTTAGACAGAAGAGAAGTAAAAATCAATTAGCAAACAAATTTTATATCTTTCCCAGCACCAGCACCAAAGTTTCTCTCAATTTGGATAGGGAGCGGGGGCTTTCACAAGAACCAAAAAAAATATATATCAATAAATAGAAGTCGTAAAGCTATCTGGACCGTCACCGACTTACCTGATGCACCTCGTTCCAGCCCTGGCTGTCCTGTATGCCCAGCGTGGCGTGATCGTGTAAAAGGCTCTCCGTGATCTTGGCCTCGCATTTGCGTGTTATGGAAATGTACAGGGGCGTTATTCCACGTCCGTCACGATAATTGGGCGAGGCGCCCAGCTCCAGCAGTGTGCTGCATAAAATACATATGACAATTAATTAAATGTTTAATCAGGTTTTCGGTCATTATTCGATTCTAAGGTGGGAATATCCCGCTTCGTAGCCAGACAGTCAGTCGGTCAGGAGAAATATATCCCAAATAGTAATAGAGGCCTCACCTAACTGCCTCGAGCGAGTCATGTTCGACGGCTCGATGAAGCGCCGTGGTGCCATCCTTGGTGCGATAGTCCAGCAGAGCACCGCCATTGACTAAAGCAATGAGCAGCTTGTTGGGCTTCTTGGCGCCGGTGGCCACGGAGAGCGGCGTCTCGCCGCTTTCTGAGCAATGAAAATTGGGATCGAGGCCCTTGGCACACATCTTGGCTATCTTCTCGACATGCCCGCCATTGATGCACTCCAGGAAGCGACGCAAATTGGCGCGTGTGTGCAGCGCCTTCAGCTGGCGTTCGTCCAGGGTCAGCATCTTATACACGCGACGCTTGTACTTGAGCTGTGGGGCAAAAGGAGATCGGGTCAGTTGAACGTAAAATATGCAACTGCTGCAACTTACCTCCAGATAGCCAACTGGTCCATTGAATGGATAGTCGCCCAGGCGTCGTTCCTCGTCCAGAAATTTGCCCGCCTTGCCATTGGAGGGCGGCGCAAAGAGGCCATAGTTGAAGCTCTCCTTAAGCTCCTGTAAGATGACAAAGGGAAATAGATGAGTCCAAGTCGCGCTGCAGTGTGAACTGAGTGCTGCTCGTCCATCAGGTGTGCCATTCACGTGCTCAAGTTGTTCACTTTACACACGCACAGCCCCTCATACACCCACACCCATCCGAACACCCACACACAAAAGACTTCCTGCTTGCGTTGGGTGTAGCAGCAGATGCGGGCGCCTCACAATGCTGTCGCTAATGAGCGCGTGACAACAGCGCCATCTAGCGTTCGGCATTGCATGTTTAGTTATACTCTGTTTTTCAGGTGAAAAGGGGTATATTGCTTTCGAGCAATGTGCGTGTTTTAAAGTTACAGAATATAAAGAACGTTTATAACTGCCTTGGATTAAGTATTTATAGCCTCGACAAGTTTTTTTACTATAAACAGAGTATCACGCAGTCGCTTCCACCCGACTTTAACGTTCTTACTTTTCTAACGTTGCCTTTAAGTGGCAATTTCTTCTGTTAATTATACAAAAAAATGCTCTGGCACTAACAAGCAACACAGCCAACTTCCGTAACATTTTCCAACGCAATGGGAAAACTCTCACTCCCCCTGCCGAACCCCCTCTATATATATATATGTATAGGTACTCATGTATATCATTCGCCCTGCAGTCTCAAGTGTGTAACTGGTGACATTGCCAGTGCATTAATTATGCAAAGTGCGTGCTATGTGCACACATGTGTGGCCAGAATTGGGTTCGGATTAGAAATTTGGTATCTGGTTAGGAGTGGAGACCTGACTGTTTCCCTTAGGCAAAGCCCATAATTCGTAATGTGACAAATGTGGCCGTTAAATGTGGCATAGCAAGTGCTAGGGATTTTCCTCTTTTGCAGATGTTGTGTAGTGTTGTCAAAGCATTTTAAAAATGAGAAAACTTTTTATGGTCCCGGAACAAAAATCAAGTAAAAGGTTGGGTTATATATGACGTCTAATTAGACTATGACTATTGTTGTATAAGATGTTAAAGAAGAAGAAGAGAGACAAGATTCCAACTGAATAATTGAGTGTGTGGAATAATGTTGAGATATAGAATTAATCTTAACAATATAAAAAAGTTGTTAGCTTTTGGCTCTTTCTAATTCTTGGTTCTATCAAACTTTCACATTTCGTTTTAAGCTAATTCTATCCAGCTGCCATAAATATGTAAAATGTTAAACTAGCCACACGTAACTCGTCATACGTAAGAGTTATTTCCGGATCTTAACTGCTGCTATGTAGCAACAAATCGTAGCTATGCAGCCATGTCTGTAGAATTCGCCACCCTCGGCGCAATCATAAATTTCCACCACACAAACTAAAACGCCCCCAAATGCCGGGCGCACCCTTCCACCCCTGCCCCTATACACATTAACTGTTGTGCGCCAAATGGGTTTTATGGCGCCCCTCGTTGTCGCTGCTGCTTCTTCTTCTCCTTTAACTTTGGGCAACTCCCCCGTGACATGCGCCACATGCAAATTGCAGACACGTCTCGCCCCGGCCTAAAGCTGCCATCGGATTTGGATTATGTACTTCGACTTGGGGTTTCCTTGCAGGGGCTGTTTGCGGGCGCCCTGCTTAAAGTCAACTTGTTGGCGCAAATTGCATTTTTATGAGTTTTGATTTCGATTTTGCAATCCGCACGGCACGACTTACGGCCCTGGCCCTGGCCCTGGCACTGGCCCAGAGAGCGAGGCTAAAAAGTAATTTAGAATTTTTGCTCATTTTGTTGCGTTGCTGCAGCTCGTAAATTCCGCTGGCTGCAACGAAATTGGGGCACATGGAATATTCCTCTTTTTTTTTTATTTTTATTTTGCATTCGATGTATTTGGTGCTTTGGTGAAAAGGCCATAAATCAATGCAAAGTATCCCTCAACAACGAAAATGGAAAGAAATGGTAAGCTGGCCGAAGTTTAAATACCCTTGCAGACACGTCCACTTTAATGCGTTACACGTATTGTTGTTAAGGTATCTTATAAGAGTATCCGAGTCTGCAAAATAGCCCTCAAAAAAAAAAGGAAAGAAATGGCAAGCATTGCCGAAGTTTGTTTAGGGATCGAACCCACGTAAAGACAAAATATATATTTTATTATTTTAAATAATGCATTTTTTATTTATTCTAGCTGACAATAAATTGCAAGCAACATGCAAATGCAGCCAGCGGGGTGGGAAGTGGGCTTTGATTTGCCTCAGCTGTTTTTCTCAAGAGCGCCAAGAGCGTAAATGTCAATGCGATGCGCACTTGCAGCAAATAAGAGACTTCCTGTTCCAATAAGAAAAGGCAACGCACAATGGCAACAGCGACAATAACAACAGCAACAACAGCAACAGCAGCAACAAAAGGCATTCATTGATAAATTGTCAAACAGTAGTTGTTGCCGGGCCTGTTGCAATTGTTTGCAAAGACGGACAGTTAGATGGAGAGACAGGCAGACAGACAGTCGAAAGGACGGACAGACAGACGGCACGGTCAGCAGGTAAACATAAACACAGTGCCAGCAAAAAGTAAACAGCCAGCCAGTTGGCCAAGTCAATTGCAATTGGGTCGCTACAATTGGCGGCCATCTGTTGCAGTTGCCGCTGCAGTTGCTGCTGCTGCTGTTGCAGTTGCTCGTAATCTCATTCTATTGCAGCAATTAGAGTCGCTGTTGCATTTGCCGTCGCCGTCTCGCGCCACAGCCTGTGTCTTGTGGCAGGCTTTACATTTATGGTCTCATTAGCGTCAGCATTTGCTTTGCTTTAGGTTTTCTTATTTATTTTCGTATTCTATTTGGTTTTGGCATTCACATGCACAGTTTGACAGCCACAGCATAGCTTAAACTTCGGTTTCATTTAGTTTACTGTACGGCCAGGCCACAAACACCCACTGCAAAAAGGTATCGAATTACACGGCACGACCAAATGCCTTGACAAAGTCGACAAAGCCCCAAAGGGAAGAGTCAACCAGATGATAACGGAAAAGATGTCGCCGCACAGTGGGCAAAAATACAGTTTACATGCTGGTTAACATTTTCAATGCGAGCTACTTTTAATAAACCCTCTTAGTCAAAATGTATCTTGTCTAAAATCTGTTGTAAATAAAAATAAATAAATCCAAGACTATTTCAGATCGTATACAAATAAATTGCATTAGGCTGCTCTGGCAATCCTCTGACATTTTGCTTAGATGCATACGAAATCCAGCCTCGTATTTTGAAAAACTTCCAACATTATTTTATTATTATGCAAAAATCGTAGGACGCACCTCGTGCGTGGACCTGAACTGGCCCAAACAAACGCAGCTTTAGGGCTTAAAAACCTAATCGTTCAACCCGTTTGCTGTCTCATTTTTCAAATTAATTCTTGTTTTAGCTAAGCCTTATTTCATCTTCTCTATAAATAAACTCCAAAGAGCTGTTCTTCTCTGACTTCTCTTCATATTTATTTACCATTTCCTGTCCCAAACAATTCTGCTGCGACCTTCCCTGCAAAATCACTTGTGCAAATTTGGCTATCAAAATGAATAAATTCCATTAAGAGTGTCAATAAATTAAAATTAATTTGTTAGTCAAGCAATAAACAAAAAATAAACCATCTGGTTTTAGGTCTGGGAAGGTCAATTAAAGTCTGATAAAATTGTAGAAAATGTTGAATATTTATTATTTATTACATTTGATGGCTGTCAGGGGCACATCATCTTCATCGTTGGGCCATAAACTGGCTATTATCTAATTATATAGTAGACACTCTACACACTCTGATTATCATAATTCTGGGCAGAAATGCCTTTTGATGGCCAACTGTCATTGCCTGCCATTGTGGCAAGCAGAGCCGAAGGCGCATTTAACGCTTCGCTCTGCAACATTTTGCGTCTGCTGCAACGTCTCAAGTTGCGGCCCAAGCGGCTTCAACATCAATTTATGTAATCTGAACAATACACAGAACTGAACAGAACCGTATCGGGAGCAGGGGGAGCCGCGATCGGCTGAATATGCCAGGCACATCATCTTATAAATTTTGCTCGTTGGCGAAGATGCCTGTGGTTAACCGCAAAGCGCAGACGGCAGGCAGCACGGTCGGAGGGGGTCAAAGGGGCTGCGAAGCATCGGAGGCACTTTGAATTAGAGTAAGTTCTGCGGCCAAACAATGTGCAGGCGCAGCCAGAGCCACAGTCCAACACAGTCAACGAAACTAGAGTTGAGCGCGTGTCGTGTTGAGCACAAAATCCAATTCGTGTTTGCAATAAGACTCAACACAAAACCAAAGATCAACAAACTGCTGCTAAATTCCTGCAGTAGCTTATGACAAATAAAAATGCAAAACCTGTGAAGCTTTCCGTTTTGAGAGCTTTCACTGTAGTCCCGACACTCGTGCAGACATCGAGCACGCGCCCATCTCTAGCACAGACGCTCAGCTCAGCTACAGCTCGAGCTGGAGCTGCGTCCTCCCAGCTCGAGCTGGAGCTGCGTCCTCCCATGCTCTTTCCTGCATCCTCCATGTTCAGTTGTTGCTGTCGCGCCATAAAAACGGGTTTCGTTTTCGGTTTCGGCGCTTTGAGTTTAATTGAGTTTTGTTTTGTTGTTTTCTTTGGCTGTTCGCTGTTAGCTGTGTGCTTGGGCGCATTCTTGACCAGCTTTTGGCCAGAATTGAACTTGGGTTGCGGCGTGGGCGTGGCATTGACAGTTGACACTCGCTTTGGGCTCGAGCTGGGCTCTGAATTTTGTTGGTTTAATTTATGCGTGCATTGGCCTCGCGATTGCTGTCATTTTATTCGGCTTGGTTGCAATTTTGGCAGCAGCAGAAGCAGCTACAGTTGCAACAGTTGCCGCTGCAACTGCAACTTTTGCATCATCCGCCTTTAAGTTGGGGTCAATGACGCGTTGCCGCCTGCAGAAGACAAGCAGCAGCCGCCTCAAAGCCCTACAGAACACTAGACAACACAACACAATGCAACAAAAACAACAACAACAACAACAACTTTACAAGCAAAGCAGCCGCCTGGCTGCAAGGATGGGC